TTGGATGTATAGCATCAAGCATAAAATACTAGAATAAGCCTAGTTTAATAATATGCAATCATAACCATGATACATCTTTCAGTCGGTCTGTTTATTACAGCGGATTACAGCCAGGATTATTCGTACTAGAGTGTCTCTACCTACTCTATTCGTATTGAACTTTGATCGCGGCTAAACATTACCCTTCTATCACTCGTTATTTCATTAAGCTAAGTTTTTGTTGTGATAGTTCTGTTAATTAAATGAACGACAGTCATATTATTAATTAATAATGTGGCTTGAAGAGGCGTTACGTGTATTTACCCGCTTAACGGCTATCAAACCTCTGTTGCATATTCATTCTGTTACAATACTTAAACGGATACATCAATGAGTGAGTGAGAGTTGAAGTTTTAAAGAAACCGTGCATTTAGGCGGGTGTTTTCACACTCCAGTATTAGATAATACAATTAAGCTGCCCTATCTAAGGACCACACCATGGACACAGAAACAAAAGGGTCAAAAAAGATACCCAATTTAAGGACCGAGAACCTCAAAAACCATACCCTATTGCGTGGCACGTACCTATATGGCCCATATATGCGCGTACCACCCCCCCCCCCCGGGTAAGTATGGAGCAGTCGACTCCAAGAAAAGTCCATGTTCGTAATTGAGTTTGCCAGTTTTTTCGTGGTGCAAACAATGTCTTCATTTGCCTCGTGTTTTCGGCAAGACAGGAAGTGAGAAAAATCTTGCCGCGAAAATTCAAAATGGTATGGAAATCACATTACTACTCCCAGTTCACTTGTTAGCTCCGTTTGAAGAGTACTGCATCGGTATCGCAGAGGTCATGAGCTCAAATCCCATAAAAGGCTGAATTTTTTCTTCAGGCCCTATTTCCACTACCACATAAGTAGGGTTTATTACTGCGAGGATCGCTTTCATACAATAATTTATTTATTAAGCAATAAATAAGATTCGATGCCGTCTTGTTATTCTTGTAAACTAGCTCTCATGATCTAAGTGTAAATTGCATTAATTGTATCAGACATGGCACGACCTTTTAAAGGAATCTCATTGGTTTGCCTCACACAGTGCAAAGGAAACAAATGGGCATTATAAAATGATATCGGCTAACCAATTAGCGTGCAGTGCAGACGTCTTCTTAGGGCGAGTTAACGTTAAGAAGCGCGCGATCGTTTATTTAACCGGCCATGTTTAATTGGTGTCAGAGTCGACGAAATGAGCAGGTTCACAATCAAAATAAGTTAATTTTAAATCCGGAAACACTGTCTTCTGATAAAAAACAAACACACGTAGAGTGAAACGGTGAAGAAGTTTTTCTTTTTACTTCGGTCAGGAAGGAAATGGCTTCTATCGCCGGACTTCTACAACACCTCCTCCATGGTCTCAAATATGAGCTGATATTTGCTGCACTTTATGTTTTCCAGACGAGAATCCTTGAGTTTTGTAGCCATTAATACATTTGACGATGTCTATTCTATTTTGATCGAAAAGATACTTTGAATGAAATAATCAACTGCACTAGAAGGTTTACCCGATGTAAATTTTTTGATGCGAACCGGCATATTTTGGGGAAACGGCGTTGCTGATTTTTTTCATCAACGAAAGCAACGGCTTCGCCAAAACCTCTTCTGCGAGTTCATATTTGCCGCACTCTGTATCCCCGCTTCCCAACTCCTTCACAGCAGAATAGAGCATAGTCGAGGCTTGTCTGTTCTTTTTTTTTTTTTTTATAGTAAAGAATCCGGTAAATTCCCCAGGCATTATTTATTCGCAACAAATTTTATTTCCAAAGCGAACAACAGTGTCAACAGCATGCTCTATACTCTCATAAATCACGCTACAATAAGCCAATCAGAATCCTTTTTAGGATGGTTGAAATAATCTGATTTGTTGAACAAGACTAAAGCCAACAAAAATGTCAAAGCATCAAAGTTCACAATTCTTCAAAGTTCACAGTCCGACAGGTTAAATTTAACACTTATGCCTGAAATTTTTTATTAGTCTTGAGTGAAATCCGGCCGAATTGTGGCCCATAAAAACACGCAGGTTTTTCACATGACAATTACAAAACAAAGTGCTCAAGGCACGTGTTTTATGAATAAATGTCAGTCGAATTCACAGGAACATGAAGATTGCTCAGGATGACAGCGCCGTAAAACCAGGCTGGGTTGACTGATGTAGCCATCCACTCAATACATCGGAAAGGATGTCAGAGCAAGCTCTTAGTAGTTCACTCGAAGGGCGTACAAAGTAATTTCTCACACTGAGCGAGGTGAGCTTATCTTGCCTTCTTGGGTAGCCAATACGAACACAGGGCTCGCTTCATCTTGCCCGCGGGCGCTGTCGACTGTATAATAAAGTTAGTTACGAGCAAATGTTTCCTCAGACTCCAAACCGCCGGTAATTCATTATAATACTATGTTATGAAATAAATTTGATATTGCCACTGATATCACCCTCTCAGGAAAATGGTTGCCTCCTTTGCAGAAACTCATCAACATGAAAATTTACGACAAGCAGTTCTACGCAAACGTCGAGGATTTAGTCGCGCAGACATGAAGTCATAAATTTACCAATGATTCTTTCGCTTTAAGTCTTCAGTAACTTAATTTGCTGTGTCGACTCTTTAACTCAAGACTCCTCTAGGAAAGGAATTTGTAAACAACTTTCGAAATCCAATTTTTCACACCATACTTATCCAAAAATTAAAAATTATCAAATTAATCAATTGATTTAATCAGCATTTATTAAGCATAATTTCTACACAGTATAGAAGCAATAATTGATAGTTCTTTAATATGAGCGTGACAGATACAAGTGGATTGACTTTGCCTCTCCACAGATAGATCGCAAAATAGAAAGATAACGGTAACTGTCTCGCATTGACTAGAACTGTCTGCAGTAGATACACGCGCAATTATTACAGCTATAGCTGTGGTTAGTAAATGTAAATGAGGTTATTACAACGGCTTCCAGTATAAATATGAATAAAATTAAGCAGCTAAAATGCTACTATATCTTGCGTTTGATTCCTGAGTAAGAACTTCGCTCTAAAGAACAAGTGATCACAGATTCGAATTTTCATTCACTCTTTATTCAGTTTTTTCGAGAGCAAGCACGTAATGTTATAGGCATCAAATGATCGGAGCAACGGGCCGGGAGGGAGTGGCAGGGAGTGATCCTTGTGTTTATTGAGTTCCACAGTTAGGTTGAAACTTACTCTTAAACCTGATACACACAAGGATCACATAGGCAAACACACGTAATCTGTGAACGATCAAAGCTCTCCAGTTCATGTTTCGCCAAAAATATTAGAGATCTATAATCTGGAGGTAAATGTCCCGAAAACAGTAGGCACTTCGGGCGATTTTCTTACTCGAGGTAACACTCAGTACGCACTGCGTAGCCGGTACAATGCCACGCAGTTTGAAGCTACTAAAAACCGAATAACGTGGCTACAATCTAGCAGCAAATTACCTCAAGATAAACTACAACTTTAACGTATACATCCCATTTAACATCTTGTTTATAATCAAAAGGAACTCATTCAGAAACAGCAAATCACTTACTGTCATTAAAAAAAAAAAACTTCTACGGTAATTAAATGTACTAAATCTCGAAAAGCCCTCTGATATGTTCAATGTACTATGCAAGCACCTATAAAGCCGTTTCAAAAAGCAGGAGAAACTTTAGAATTCCAGTGACATATGATCTGACTACAATCAACTGTTGTTTAATCACTAGTTTTCTCATTCTTTTGGTTATATTTAATCACAAAAAAACACAGCATGTACCTAAAAAATATATAGGAAATAGGAAGTTTAGCCTGCAATGGACATTCACTCTTCATGTCCAATGTTTCCGGATCGAATTGGAATTTGGGATATTGGTTTGTTCGGAGCGAGAAAAACAAGAGGATCTGGAAAAAATTCTCGGAGCAAGGACGAGAAAAAAACAACAGACTGAACGGACGTGACGCAAGGTCCGGGAATCAAACCTGGGCCACAGCGTTAAAAGGCGAGCGACCTCACCAGTACGCCATCCCTGCTTTCACTATTAATAGAAAAAAAAACCGAGCAATCAAATGATTCAACCCCACAAAAAGGGAAAAGTCTGGGTACATCAATAAACTCCTTCTGAATTCTCCTTATGGTAAAAATCAATAACTGAAGGTTTTGTTGAGTTCTTAAACATTTGAGAAATAAGATACACCTATCCCAAAAACAAAAAGCAAAAAAAAAACATGAAAGTGCAAGTACACGATTCCGATCCAAAATCACCGCTTTACCTCAAACCAAAAACACCGAAAAAAAGGCGAACCACTCGGTTGGCCCGGGACGAGAGTCGTACGAACGAGGCAGGTTAGTCCTCACAATTTTAGATGGCTGTAGTGGCCCTTTAGGTATGGTCTGATTCGGTTTCCCAAGCAGGCATGACACGACTTAAAGTATTCA